ATATCGATATTGGCAAGGGTTAGATATATTTTGGACGGGAAAGCACTATGTATTTTGTATTCTTCATTGATTTTACCATTGGGAAATACATACAAAAGCTCACTTCAACCATTGTATATATTACAAAAAAGAGCGATAAGAATTGTGCATAAGATGGGGTATAGGGATCACACCAACGTAGCTTTCATACAGTCTAAATTGTTAAAATTTTTTGATTTAGTGGGATAAAAGACTGCAGTGTTTATGTATAAAGCCAGGAGCAATTTATTACCTGGTGGAATTCAAAAACTATTTAATGAAAGGGAAGGGGGATACAATTTAAGGGGTCAGTTAAATTTAAAAATTCATGCTATACGTACAACCAAAAAAAGATTCTGTATTTCTATAAGTGGGGTAAAACTATGGAATAATTTAAGTGTGGACATAAAAAATAGTAATAGAATTGACGAGTTTAAACATAAATATAAAGGTATGTGTCAATCAAGATATATGCAAGAACAGGCTTAATGATTAATTAGATGGAACATTGTGGGTGTGGTGTACATTTTGTAATAATTCTTTAGTATATTACTTGTGTGATGTAAGAATGTTAACACTGTTATAATCTTTTTTTAGTATAATATGTGTGTGGGTAGAAGTGAATCATTTACTGCTTGCAAACCAATGATGGTAAGATGATGTCATGGGGTAGGACTGGATAAGTCTGACTTCTTCCTACTCCATTCAAGCATGTACTAGATATATGCAAATTGATATTGGATTATGTGTAAAATTATGGGTGTTGTCATATCAACTGTTTTTACATGCTTGAAAGAATAAATCAAATCAAATTATTGAGTAGTTCACTCCCTTTACAAAACAATCAAAATAACACCTTGAAAGTACACACGTTCACTGTCCCATTCACTGTGCATGCAGAGTGCACGCAGTGCGTACATGGTTACATACCTCACATTAAGCTAGCATAGATTCTTAAAAATGCATTAGCAAAGTTAAAAATGAGTCAACAACCAGCGCCAGGAGACAAAATACACACACTATCAGCCTCGCAATTTACAAGATGGTTTCCTCATTTCAGGTAGCAGCAGGAAACGCCTCATCATACTACCTGGATTATTAAGATGGCTCCGTGCAGACTTTTTGTATAACTGTGTAGCCGTTTTGTATAACATACCAGTGAGAGGTGAGGGCTTGCTGAGGGTGCTGTACTGGTTGTGGAGGTAGGGGGCGCCATGGCGGGAGCTGAAGGTAGGTGAGGAGGCCAGGACCAGCTCCTCTTTGATGACACTAGCCTTGGGATGGTCCTCGGGCAGCTCTTCCAGACGCTGGTCCAGAGAGACCCTCAGCAGGTCCAGGTGTTGAGACGCCTCACTGAGACGAGACTGCGCCTGCAGAGCATCAGCAAAGATTTACATCCAAGGTGCACATTAAATAAACTCTTAGCTCTATCCAGTCTTACAGCACACACAATCCATCCCACTGCTTTGATATGAGTGTTCGAGGTACTACAAAAGAAGAAGAGCAGGCTGGCATCTGATGTCACCCCACATGTAGCTTAGCAAGTGTATAGGTCATTATGACATGTGACTGACTTAGTCTTACAGGTGTCTCACAGATTTGGAGGTGTATGCATTGAAGTGTGTGAAATGAAACTCTCTGCAGGATGTGTGTGACTGTGCGTCTGGTCTAACCTCAGTCAGGGCTTTCTTGTCCTGGACCTTGCTGGCCCCTAAGAGCCTGAGCACGTTTTTGGCCCCCTCTGCGACAGCATGTTCCACCCTGTAATGATGCCTCAGCTCTTCAATACGCAGTTCCACCCCGCAGAGGTCCTGGTTGCCTGCAGAGGAGGAACGGACCAATAACATTACTGTGCACTGAAACAGAACATATTGCAAAGCAGCTGAGGCTGTAATCGAATAAGACGTTACTGTAATCACATCAGCACCTTTTCAGAATCAGGTTTAGCTTTTTATTCTCTTATGGCTCTTAGGCAACAGGACTCTATTGGTCAGTGTAGGTGTTTTTAAATTGGTTGTATTGTTGATTATTGTATTTATGGTTTTGATTGTTTAAATGTTTAATGTTTTTGATTTGTATTGAAACTTGTGTATTGACGACATGTGTTGTTGACCTCTTGGCCAGGTCACCCTTGTAAAAGAGATCGTGATCTCAATGGGTTTTTTACCTGGTTAAATAAATAAAATAAAGAGAGAGCTTTAATCGCCAAGTATGTTGGGCACACAAGGAATTTGTCTCCAGCACAGAGGCTCTCTGTGTGTTTTAGGCAACAGACAATAGAATTGTGCAATCAAAGTGAGTGATAATGTCAACTCATGTATTGAGTAACATGCAAGAAAACATTCCACCTTAAAATTGGCCAGTAGCTGCCAGTAGCCTTGCAGCCACACAGAGAGAAGACCTATATAATAATGCTAATGTTAATACAAATGAAAAAGCAGTGGGGGTACAGTGCAGGCTACAGGTCCTGCGACAATATATTAATGTTACTGTTTTCTCATTAATGGACAAGAATAGGCCATATAAGATTATCTATGGCTATAACATTCACCCTCTGTCAAATGGCTACAAAGTGACACTGTTATTCTGCCATACCAGAGAATAAGTCAGTCTAACATTTGATCGTGTGGGCAATTAGAGAAAACAGCGGGCAAGTAAAGGAGTTACTGAGGGTAACAGAGGGACAAGAATCAGACAAAGACACCATTAGCAGGGCTTCGAAGGAGGTCAGTAGCCTCTGACATCTCCCCAGTAAGCATCACCTGCTTTAGCTCCAACCTCTCTCATCCTTTTTTGCTTCCATACTTTCCTGATCACCACCTCATGTTGGCCAACTAACACTAATGGCACAAATACATAGTTGCTCGCTTGCTATGCCAGAAAAATAGCCACATATCCAACCTCAACATTACAGTTACACTGAGACAAGCAGTTAAATAAATCAAGTTCTGCTTGTATGCTTTATGAGGAGAGGCATTAACCATGGAAGACCATTGTACTGAGTTTATGAAATAACCTCAACAGAAATCACCTACTGGTAACAAAAAGCACTACAACTGAACATGTTCACTGTTGGACATTGGACTGTATTTCCAGTCACTCTCCACTCCTGATTAATAGCCACTTTGAAATGCAGCCACTGCCTTTCACACCATAAATGAAACAACCTCATAAAATTAAATAGATTCAAGCAGAAAATTTGCTGCAACACTGTCAGTCAAACATTCAAAAGGAAAATAAAACACACTCAAGCTTCCTGACATAGAAAAATGGATACAGGATAAATAGCATTCAAAAAAGGTGCATTTGACTTTCAAATGTCATGTAAATGAGCAGGAGGGACAAAGGAGTGATTACAAATGATTTTCATGACTTCTGACCTATTCTAAATGCTGCATGAGAATGAAGACAGAAAGGAATAGGGGTGGGGGTTGGGGAGGTGGAGATGGATGTGGATGCTTTTATCTCCTAATACGGTGTTGTGCCTGGAGCCAGGACCCTGCTAGATGACCCCTCCACTGGGTGTGGTGCCTGGAGACTGTCTGTCTGTGTACACTACACACACAACCCTGTGTGTGTGATAACCAAAGAAGATCCTGTGCGAGACACCAGCATAACAGAAGAGGATTCCAGTACTCAAGCTAAAGCCTTTATTCAGCTTGATTTAGGGAGTACACTGGTGGAGTTCCACTGAAATGCAAAATAGCTGCTGCTCAGGCTAGTCATTAACATCAGCAACACTATTTTTATCACATTACAGCAGTGAAATGAACTTCTGGTCATAAAAAAGTGCTGCATGAAGGACACAGAAGGATAAAGTAGGGCCTTAAAAGGCCCTTAAATAATCCTTCCAAATGGCCATTATCTTCTTGCCTTAAAAGACGCCTGCTTTCTTTACAGCCAGAAGCTCTCTCAGTCCAACATTAGCACAGAGGAATATATGACCCCAAAGGGAATAAATCATCTTTAAAGTCTGTTTTTACTTCTGCCCACTCCCTTCACTCTCTTCCTGCTCCCCCACTGCTTTTAACAAAGCACCTCTTGTGACAGTCATCAGTGTTTTCCCAGCAGAGGGGTCGTGATGGTCCACAGCACTCACTGCCCTAGAGATGGTGATAACACCTGCCCTGAAATGGCATTGATTGCCCTGCCACAACATATAATATTAAGCCCCTTTTCCACCGCCTGGTACCAGCTCAACTCCACTTGACTTATTTGTGTTTCCATCAGTCAAATTTTGAGGATAGTACCTAGTGCTATTTTTGGTATCGCCTCCGTCAAGGTTCCAAGCGAGCAGAGGTGATACACCAAAGGGTGACGTGTAAACACTGCAGACTAGCGATTGGTCAGAGGAAATCCTGTCATCGATGTGCGAGACATCCAGGGACAAAGAAACCGCTGTTTTCAAAAGCATCATTATTTAACATGTGATAACATCTACCAAAAACCACAGAAATCAGTGGGCAGCATGGTGGTACAGCGGTTAGCGCTGTTGCCTCACAGCAAGAAGGGTGTGGGTTCACGACCTTTCTGTGCGGAGTTTGCATGTTCTTCGTGTGCTTGCGTGGGTTCTCTCCGGGTACTCTGGCTTCCTCCCACAGTCCCAAGACATGCGGCTTAGGTTGATTGGTATCTCTAAATTGCCCATAGGAGTGACTGTGTGAGTGGTTGCTCGCCTGCGTGTTGGCCCTGCAATGGAGTGGAGACCTGTCCAGGATGTACCCCGCCTTTGCCCAATTGCCAGCCTGGATTGGCTCCAGCCTGACCCCATTTGGGACTGAGTGGTATAGAAGATGAATGGATGTACTTTGAGTTTTAATTTTGACACATGTCCCATCTGCTAACATGACGCATACAACAAGCGGCCACCATGGGCAACCACGTCACAGTGGCTTCACTTTTGGGAATTGTCATGGTGACCATATTTTCTACAGTTGATGGTTTACACACAGTCCCACTGTACCATCTAGTCCCCAAAACGTAAATCATTAGTGATTACTTGGTTTAAGGTTAGGATAAGTGTCCAGGAAATTAATACAAGGTAATGCCCCCTGAAGTGACAGGAACACAACGTGTGTGTGTGTGTGTATGCCAGTCCTTTTGTTGGATCTGTTTGATGGATTGTTGCGGTGTATATCTGTGTGTGAATTGGACTGATTGCGGTAACATAGCAGGTGGGCCATTTCACAGGGTTTGTATCACTCACATACAAATTTGTCCATCTCACCCACTCCCACACACAATCACACTCAAACATTAACTCACACAGACAACAGTCGACTGTATCAACCCTAGCTATTCTCCCCCACAAGATCCAGGCTGAGAGATGTGAAAACAGCGCGCTTGCTCTTGATTGATCTCTTTATGCTATTGTGTGTCTGCTGTCTGCAGCTGCTGCTCAGTACAGAATCTTCAACATGCAAAATAAATAAAAAAAAGCATGAGAGGAGAGAGATGAAGAAGACCCAGCAAAGCATCCTGTCAATGTCAGGTGACCACTGTCACAAACCACAGATACTTGAGATTAAAATGTCTGCTTCCTCTGACAGGAGAGCTAAAAATGTACTGACAGAAATAATTACTCTGTAAACATGTGACTTCAGACTCTTTTTCTAGGTGACCTATATTTTTAATATGCTAACTGTGTAATTGCAACTTCCCCAGTTGTCACAAGTCCCATCCTTCTCTTTTCACTTCCTGTTAGCGCCCTACTGTTTACTCTAAAAACACCTAAGGAAAAGAAGACCATCTTCACAAGTAGGCACAGGTGCCACATTAAGTTAGTGTAGTTAAACATATCTCGTCTGTATTCATTTAGCCAATCAGACTTACCCTGTGTGTCGTCGCTCTGCTCGGTGGCCTGCACTGCCTTGCGGATTTGCATGCGAATTATGTCAATTTTGGTCTTGCTGTCCTGCAGCATCTGCTGAGCTGTTTGCAGCATTTTCTTATCCTGAATGAAAGAGAAACAAACCAATAAGCAAATAACATGATGGGAAGCAAAAAGAAAAAAAAACTGTGTTGGCACTTTGTCTTAAGTTTCATAAAACCTAAAGCTGAAATCTTTGCATTTTTTCATGCTGGCTGATTGATAGAGCCTCATATTCCACTTAGGCAAGGCAAGTTTATTTATATAGCACATTTTCATCCACAAAGGCAATTCAAAGTGCTTAAGAAAATGCACACAAATAAATAAAAAAAACATTAAAATGCATATATACAGTAGATAAAACATCAGATTAAAACACTGAAAGCAAATTAAAAGCAGCAGGTACATGACATCACTTTGAGGTCATTGAGGCAGTGGAACAGAGGGAAGTGGAAGTAAGGCAGTAATGTGAAATGGCTCAAACACATGCTGCATAAAAAAGGGGGAGAGGAAGTTAAGGGACGGTGTGCGCATGGGGGAGGGGCTTGCATCTCAGTTATTTATATTTAGAGGTCATCATCAGCATGTTGAACACACATTAATCTGATTCTGATACAGTGGCTCCGAATGTGCTTTTGCAAGGCTGTATGTACATTATGACAAAAGACCTTTCAAATGAACAGATTTGTGGATATGGCGACAGTCCACACACAAGCACAGTGTTTATCTGGGGGACGGGAACACTGTGTGTAGTGTACCCTGCAAAATGTCACGCCTGTAGTCAGTATCTCAAGTGTCCTATAGACTGTCCTCTTAAGCTGTGTTCAGATGTGTATATGTGTGTGAGTATGGACAGAGCTGACGTCCTGTACCTTAGTGGATCCATTGGCATAGATGGGGATCATGTTCTCAACTCCCTGTTTGACCTTGAGCTCGATGTTGAGCTGTCTCTCCAGGGCAGCAATGCGGCCCTTGTGGGCTGATGTTAGGTTCTCTGCCCCTGGAGATTGAGGGCACTCATCTGTGGAGAGGTTGGAGGTCATACACAAAGCAACCAGTTCACATAGTGCACTCTGAGATGAAAATACCCTGTAGGGAATTTCATGTAATGGCAGTAATGGCAACTAATTTTGTTACATTTTTACAGCAACATGTACATGTTCATATCCTGGAAAGACAACTCATCACGTCAAACAATTTTTTTCAGTGCTCATACACAGCCCTAATTTTTAAAGAACTCTGAACTCACTATGGCGAAAGCTTACAATGTTTATCGTAAAGTTATACAATAGATGTATAACGCAGATCCTCACTCTTACAGATTTGACAACAGGAGCCAGAATTTCTCTCATATATATACCTTTAGTCTCCTCTCCTCCCTTCACCACAATATGAGCGTCCAGCTCCTGGAGCTGAGCGTGCAGGTTGTCCAGCCTGCGGTTTGAAGATCGCAACTGACTGTCCACCTGGAGACAAACATAGAGCAAAAACCTTTTTAAAATTTCTTGCAGAAGAAATTACAATGCTGAAACTGATTTTCTGTGGGACATCAGTGCACGAGTCTAGCAGTAAATAAAGCAGCCATGGACAATGTGTGGGCAGCAGCACAACATGTAAGAACATAATGAGGAGCTAGAGAGCTGGTGTTGTCTTTAAATCGGTTCTGCGAGACATTAAGCTTTCAGTACTTTTCTTGAAATCTCAACAGATCAATATGATCCTTAAGGTCTTAATAATGGTACTGTGCTTGATTCAGATGTGATATTATCTTGCAGGCAGAAGCAGGCAAGGTGCCTCAGCATGTCTGTCAAACTAAATACAACAAATCAAACCCCTGCTGAAAGGTTGTCCATTAGTCTAAATACTGCCGGGCAGTTTGTTAAGGATTGAAGGAAGCTGTTACACTAAGAGTGGCATACACCGATCAGGCATACCATTATGACCACCTGCCTAATACTGTGCACAGGAGTCAGTCCAGCAGATAGTTGGTACGACTGTCACTCTGCGGCTCACTGTGCATCATGTGTGAATCTGTTTGCTTCCATAGTCCTAACGTCAGGAAGAGCACGAATGTGTCGACCATTCAGTGAAAAACATATGTAAAAGGAGTGAACACTGTGGTGGTGAGGACAAGTTAGAGATAATTTCTTAGACAAATTCACCAGCCTCCCCACTCTCACCACTCTAGCCACTGGATGGTTCTCTTCATAGAGACCAACGTACAGTATTTCACATTTTCAGCCATTTTAACAAAGATTCAAACTAAATTGAATTTTTTGAAAAGGATGAATGAAAGTATAATCTACAGTAGGTCAACCTCATCATCAGTGAGCCCTGGGTGTCCATGACCCTGTCACCAGTTCACTGTATGTCCTTCCTTAGACACTGTTGGTAGGTACTAACCACTGCAGACCAGGAACACCCAACATGACCTGGAGTCTGGGAGACGCTCTGACCCAGTCATCAGCCATCACAGTTTGACCCTTGTCAAAGTCACGCAGATCCTCACTCTTACACATTTTCCTGGTTCCAACACATGAACTTTGAGGACCAGATGCTCACTTGCTGCCCAATATACCCCACACACTGACACGTTCTGCTGTAATGAGATGATCAGTGTTGTTCACTTCACCTGTCAGTGGTCATGATGTTATGGCTGATCAGTGTATTGTTCTGTTCACTCACTCTAACCCTGCAGGTGTAATTACTCCTGTGTGAACTACTAGACCTTGTCTTTGAATAATCTAAAATTGTAATAGTTTCATGTCAACACATCCTGAGACAGGAAACCTTCTATAATATGCAAGTATAGTGGTCTAGGCACGCATCTTGTTTGTGGTTCATTGAGCAGTCACTTCCATCTCAAAGTTATAATTCCAGACTGCAGGCAGCATTGAAACATAACCTGTCAGCACAATAATTTACTTACGAAATTAAGCTTACTGGCAAAACATTTAGAGAAGCGCAGTTGTGACCTAAATCTTCAATCACCCACACAAACAGCAAAAAATGTGGGTTGTAATGTAAATGACTACAGACTGCTGTTCCTGTTCTGAAAAACTTTGATATCACCAAAAACAGAAATGGATCTTTGGATCATATTGCCATATCAGTGCAAGACAATCTATCAAAGCACACACACACACACACAAACAAAAATAAATTGAGTATAAATGACACCACAGGGGTTGTCCAGTTGAAGCTGGATGTGCACAGATTTTCCTTCCTTAAACACTATTCATTCAAATACTTACACTGGTCTGTGAGCGAGGCATTGAACCCTTCACGCTCTGCTTGAGTGGTGCTCACTTCTAGCAACAGTCAGAGCCTGACACTGCTGCTGCTGCTGCCCAGTAGTTGTACTGGGCAGCTTTTGGATGTAAATATGTGGAAATGTGTGCTCACTGAACTCATAGAGCAAATAAAAGGCCAAAACAATGGTCATTTTAAGATTTGAAAGAAAAAAACAAAAACAAAACTAAGCTCCTTCAGAATGTCCCAACCTTTGGCATAGGCAAACAGGATAAGAACGTCACACACCAGCGTCTGATTCACCAGACTATGTTCCAGTTAGCACTCATTAAAATGGTTTCCTGCAGGGGTACTGATGTGGTGTCTATGCCTTTCCAACTTGTGTTTCCATGATTTTATCATCTTATTACTGATATTTTATCTGAGCTCAAACACTTGGGTTCCCTCCTTTCTGTATCTGCTGTGGAGAGACTCAGTCTAAAGATGCATGCTTATACATACACTATATCTTATTAGCAGTCCCTGGCACTCCCTGTTGATATTTCAAATCCTCTATTAGCAGTGAGAAAAAGCATAAAAGCTCAGTTCTACTAAATAAGAGCCATTTGATTGGTGTTAAAAAACAGAACTAGGGCCCTTTTGACCAACAAGTTGCTGTGTAGAGAATCTACATGTATCTGTGGCTGACCTGCTGAGCGTTCCTCTTGTCAGTCGTCGCCCTGCGCAGGTTCTCAGCTCCTTCCTTGATCTTCAGCTCCTTGCGGATCTCTCTGCGGATCCTTTCGCGCTGCTCGTCCAGAAGCTGCTGTACACTGGGGTCTGAGAAATCTGAGTTCTGGTCCAGAGCAAGCTGCTCCAGAACTGACAGCCCCTCTGGGTCACTCTGGTTAGGTGAATGGCGAGAGAGCAGTGGGAAAGAACAAAACAAACAGAAAAGTGAATTTAGACAGTGTGCTTATGAACAGAATAAAAGTCTTGGCCGTGGCAGTACAAGGCTGAAATTCTAGTCAGTGTGGCTAATAGGTGTTGAGTTTGAAGCAGACAGAAGAGGAAGAGATGGCGAGCAGGATAAGGCAGTAATGGGAGGAAACAGACAGAGACGACAGTGATGGGAGCAAAGGAAAAGGGGCAAAGCTGGGTAAAAATAAAAATGCTAAAAAAAGGAAACAGGAGCAGTGAAGAAATACAAAAATCCTATATACAAACAGTTCAAAACAAATCTGCAACCTCTAAACAGTTTATAAAAAGAGTTTGTGATTAACTGAAGTTCAAATGACATTTTCAGAATAGTCTGCCTGGTACAGACTAAAGCTCATACTAGACATGGTTATACTAGAATCACAAATTCTGTTAAGCGGTGTGTGCTGTCCATTGTTCTCTTCTTAAGGTCTCTCTCCATATTCCACATTTTAGGACCACGTTTCCCCTCACTTCCAACAACCTTTTCCTGTCAGCTACAACAATAACCTCATGTCTTTGCAGAACTAGCACATGCTACAGAATCACATCTGGAGATTCAGCAGCAACACAATCAGGAACACAGAGGACAGAGTCAATCACTAGAAACGACAGCCTCTACTAAAGGAACACAGTAAAACAAACAAGCAAACAACACTTCACCTCCGAGCTGTCCCCATCTTCCTCGTCGCCATGCCAACACATACTTCACTCAGATATGATGACCCGCAAAAACAGAGGAACAGAAATCTCTGGCTCGCCCGTGAGCTCAGCCCGGCGGTTTAACGCCACAACAACAGCGAAATGAGTTGGAGGGGGGGAAATGATAAAAAGAGATAAAGGGAGGGAGAGTTAAGTGAGAGAGGAGGGGGAACGCCTCAGAAAGAGGATATCCGTCCCAACACCGAGCTGCTCAGGCCTTTCCTGTTTCCTCTGTGATTCTGCTGCTGTCAGTGGAGATTCAGAGAAGAGGACAGAGACTCTATACATTATGAACACATCCTCCCTCTTGAAGGTTTTGTAAATCATGGTCTGATCTGTGGCAGCTAGTCTGCATGATGTCAACTTGTCCTCAGCTGCTTGTGCTCACCGAGTAATCAGATCTGGATTCAAGTGACTTTGCGACAGCTTTATTTATTTATTCATTTGCTCCTGGTTGGCTCTGTGATACAATCTTGAAGGCGGAAACAAGGGAAGGACATGTTTTCTAAGTATTGGATCAAAGCCAGAGGGTAAGGTTGGGACACATTTCTGTCTTCCGCTTGACTTCCAATTTCCTTTGGGTTCCATATATACAAATCCCTGTGGTGATTCCCCTTCCCCTGTAGAAGCACTATGAGACTGAGACACAAGCTATTCTGGAAGTATGATAACATCTCTATATGAGCAGCAGTGGGTGGAGCTGGCACCTTAATGCTAGCCCTCCAGCACCATCCTCCAAACTGGACAATGAGCATTCAGTTTAAGGCTCCTTTATGCTGCACAGTAACAATAATCATAATAATGTGCCAGATGGGTATAATCAAATATAGATTATGGTGCCTGGCATAGCAATGTAATGTAAACAGAAAAACTATTCAAGTAGATAAACATCAGTTTTGATCAACATCCTATGCCAGCCACTTGGGGGCAGTGGAAATATAGTGTGAACACAGCACTGAGATACAGTATCATCACCTTCAAGGCTGATATGGCGAACTTGCTTTTTTTGACACAACCAACTGTTTTGGAGCAGTGTTAAAATTGGTTGGAGTTGTGTGTCTAGCTGAAAAAAGCTTAACAGGAACAGGAACAGGACAGCTCAACTATGAGCTGAAACTCACTATGAAGCTTTGTAAAGCCAAGGAGAGCTGCAAATGCTCACAATAATCACCAAATCATTTTGCAGGAAATATGGCCAGAAAAGTAGGAAATTGGACCAAAACACACACAAAAGAGACGTACTGTATGTCTATACTGTATATCACAGTAAACAGTCAGTGTATTTTGGTCACAACATCACTCCCTGCACATTTTATTTTTGGTGACACTATAACCAATGACTTTTAAAGACCGCACCTGCCACTATAAGAAACACTGATGAAATGTTGGCTCACACCCTCGGCGCCACTTTCAGCGGGAGTAACTGCTGTTGCCTGTATGAGGTTTGGAGCATGTTAGTATTACACTAAATGCTTGTTTTTCTGCTGAACTATAGCCTTACTGCCAAGAGATTGTGTCATATGGTGAACTGATTATGTAACTGAACTGCAGAGAGGGTCGGGTCATCCCCCACCCAAATCCAGATTCTGACTTTAGGGAGAGATGCACTTATGCAAGAAAAGAAAAGAAAAGAAAAGAGAAGAACATGGCCTCTGCTCCACGTGAAGAAGCCAACTGTCCGGTTACACTCAGGCCAGATCCACAGGACATGTCATTTGTCCAGTTGGTGGGAACATGTCTGCTGTCACTTCCAAAACAATGTGTTAAAGACGTGTTAACAGCAGCAGATGCTGACAGAATGTGTTCTGACACACATTAGTATGTAGCACAGAGCAGCAGTGTCAGATGAATCATCACAAACCAGTCATACTAACATGTGAAACCAACACACTTGTCTTAGACTGACACCTTTTCAAAGAGATGAACACAGTAGTTAAAGAGATTAAGCGGATACAGTCCAACAATCCATCCTCTAGCCGTTGACCGTGTGTAACACTGCAAATGTGGCAACGGCTAACGGGCTTAAATGAATCAGTCCGAGCAGCTTGTTAGTAAACTAGCCCAGAAAGAACATTGCGCAGCAGTGCCCAGGGAAGTAACAATGAGCGGATTCAATGGATAACCGTGCTGAGTGAGACTAATTTGATCAGACAGTGTGAGCAGCGTAGAGGAGCTTAGGGCTGGACAGAGAAGGACAAGACCGAACATGGGTAACGATCAGTTTTGTGTGATTGTGCATGTGTCCTCTGCTGTGAGGACAATGCCTGGAGACTTCCTACTGAGTCATAATGAGCGTTCAGTACAGAGTTGGTGTCCACATGCAGGCCATGGAGAGGCGTAGTCATGCGGGCGTGCCCGACACGGACAAGAATGTGAGGAGAGATATCCACTTTTAATAAATTCACACACACACACACACACACACACACACATCACTTGTGAGGGTTTTACACTGACTTATTCACTCTTAGAGCCTTACCCTAACACTTAACCATAACTACTTGCCTAACCTTCACCTTAACATCACCCCATCCTTAAACTCATTCCAAAACTAAAGTCAGTGTGTTTCCTGGCAGGCTGTTGAATGTGACAGTAGGTCAGAACGCCATTATAACTGCAGCTGGACACTTGTTCTACTGTGACAGAGGATGAGCTCTGGCTGTGCTAAAAGTCACAGCTAATAATAGGAGGAAGAAAAGAAGAAGAGGAGCAGCTGTTATCCTTTATACTTTTTTGACATTACATTAGTTAATCTTAACTTTGAACCATTATATATAACAGTAAACAGTTTGACAAGCTCTTCTTGCCATCTATGAGGACTGCAATAATCTGTTAGTATGTTGCAAGCTTTAAAGTTTAAAGCATCTCTTAACATAACTGGAAAACAAACTGCATGCTTAGTCTATAGGTGGCAGGAGCTCTGTCAGTGTACTTACTTTAGCGTGTTATCATGCTAACATTTGCTAATTGGCACAAACAATCACTGACGATGATGTGAAGGTCATTAGTTGTGCAGCTATTTCAGCTAGTCTAAACCAAAGATAAAAAATAAAATTGAATAAAATAAAATTTTGACCTGATTATGGCATTAGATAAAAAGTCAGAGGATCACCAAGGTTATTACGTTTCCTCCTGAGGGGAACATGGATGTCCATACCAAACGTTATGACAATCCATCCAACGGGCAATAGTTGTTGACACATTTTAGCCTGGACCATGAGGTAAATCCCAATTGCCTTATGTGATTGCTGCTTGCTCGATCAGGAAGTATTTCCAGTCCGCTATCTTGAAGGATGTCTTAAAGCTCATATTCCTGCTCTGATGAGCGAGGAGGCTGCCTGGAGGAGCCATAAGCCATAAGCGAGCATACAAATGGGCATCCTTTGTGAATGTCACACCCCATTAAGAGAAATCAGTTGGTGACTGGACGTGTCTAATGAAGAATCGGAGGTAAAGACGTGTCTCCTTGATTCTTCTCTTCTTGAATCTTACATGGGCGGGATTAAGATGTAAGGAAAATTCATAAGTCTGGGAAGTGTGCATGCAATTAAGAGAATTGGGATTTACCCTAAGTGGTGGCCTGACTTACTGACAGTGCCATTCCCGGAGCTACACCGCTAACATGGCTAAAGACTATAGATGCTGTAGATGAGACTGTTGAAACCATCAGGCGCGCACACACACACACACACACACACACACACACACCAGCATGTAGAGTATGACAGAAGAGTGAGTTGGCAAAAGGTTTCCCTAATGGTTTTACAGTAAGTTACAAATCATTTCCTGTTGATGACTTTCGCTGCCACATGGGCCACTCTGTATTATTCTGCTGAAATGACGAACCTGCAGGAAAATACCATTTCCTGTTCTTGCCAAACTGACTGACTGCATGGAGAGATACAGGGAGAGGAAACGAGGCCAAATAAATGGAGAATGTGTGATGCCGAGGAGCAGAAGAAAGAAGAGGAAAATGAAACACACTTCAACACACTTGGCCAATAAAGGCAATTCTGATTCTAACAATCAAACATTTCGGTTTGTTTTCTTCAAAGAAAAAGGCCTTTACATGTTGGGAAAATACTCTGACCTTAGATGAAAACATCCTTTGTTAAATTCATTCAAAAATAACTCACAAATGGACAAACAAAGGAAAAAAAACAAAGGAAAAAAAAGTCCACGCTGTCAAAAGCAAGTTTGTCCAGTCACACTAATGAAACAGAC